CATTAACAGCTGACAGTCTATTGACTGGCCTGCCAACTCTTGTTAGACCGACTGGCAGCTTCTCCGAGACCAAGACCTCAGTCCACCCTGTCGGCTTCTACCAACGGCGAGCCTTCCTTCCTTCCTCCCCCTGCAGCTATTTATCTACCTCTCAATTCATGTCACCCTTCATTTCTCACTGTTGTTTTCTGCTGTCTTCCTGCTTGACCCCGGCTCTCCTTTGAAAGATGCTTGTGGAATTCTGACAGCTTCTTGTTTTTTTGTTTTTTTTCTTTCTTTTATCTACACCAACATGCCGCAATTCTATAAGGGGCCTCTGCAGCTCTCTTCGGAGCTTCGCTGCAGCTCCTAAACATGTTGGCCAACATCAGAACCCACACATTACAGGAGGCAGAGTTCAAGTGGAGACCACCGTGATTTAACTGTCATCTCCACCACCTCCTTGTTCACAGTGAGCCAGAATCAAAATGAGAATAAAGAAGAGCAGGAGGGAAAAGGGGAAGGAAAGAGAACGCGGTGTCTCTTCCTGCGTCTACGTCCATCACGTGTCACGGCCGCTCCTGGCTTTCATGTTCTGTCTGACTGAGTGTCTCCTGCTCCAGCAGTCTTTGTTTCCTTACTGAAAATCCAAGTCCCTCAGAGGCGGGAGACAAACTCTCCTCTGCATCCACTCCTGCTCAGCTCAGCGTAGCTGGGATCAGCTCTCACCTCGCTGAGACCCCCCCCCCCCTGTAAAGCTGAGAGACAGCTGTCTGTACAGATCAGTCAGGACAGAACATACGATCACTGTGAGTCAATGTTGCTGCTGGCTTTTCTAACACCTCTCCCACAGACATCTATCTGATTCAAGACACAGCTCTAGGGAACATGGTATGTTAACCCCCACCCCCTCACCCCCCTCACAAAAAAAACAAAACAACCAAGACTATATCAGTCACACAACAATTTATCATTCCTTTAAAACTACATTGAACAGAGACCGGACACTCCAGGAGGAACACTCTGGTCTGAAGGGTTTCTAAGCTGCACATTCTTGTTGAAACTGAATTTAAATACAGCAACTTGTTGTTCGAAAAAACAAATAGATGAAGATGTTGTGTACTCTGTGTCAGCAGTGATAATCCTGGTGCAGTAGATTTTGGTTTGATGTCTGGAGTGTATGTCAGTAGAACTGAGGACTCATCAGACCCATGGTCGTCCACTGCTGCTGTTGGTATTTGAGTCACTGTTGTTTGGTCATTCACTTCTGACCCCTGGTGTACATATAAATATATATATATTGTATACTTGTATATTGTATACTGTACATATAAACAAGAAGTATCATTGAGATACAAGGTGAAAAACATATGGAAATTCACAGATTCTGTTTAATATAAACCATCAAGTTTAAGAAGACACCTTCTAAAACAACGACTCATACTTTTGAATGAATTATTTTTATTTACTTTCTTATGTGATTTGGTCTTAATATTATATATTATTGTATACTAATATTATATTATCACATATGTGGATATTTATATAATTTATATAATTATCCTTCAGAGAAGAATCTGGACACATTCATTTCTATTAGATCTCCTTAATTGTTCATATTATTATTTACTTAATTCTATAACCTAAATGCATTACGTTACTAAGATTATTTCATTAACCAGAACAGTAAAGTAATGATGATTAATGTTGTGTGAATTATATGTGGTGTAGTTTTATTTATGATTGTCAGTTATTACCATCATTATTCCATAAACATCATTTGAGCTGTTGCTTTTTTCCTCCATTAGACTATTTTATCGCTGCATCTCAAGTGCGACTAATTGTGTAATTCTAAAATCCCACACTTGGACTCAGACGGTTGAGTGTGAGGTGTGTGTTTGATTACAACTGGAAAGGAAAATCCAGTGGCAGAGGACAAAACAAGCCTTTGGCTGATGAAGACAAATGTGCAAACACATGTTGGCAGAATTGCTTTTTGGTTGAATGTGATCGGCTACGCTCAGGAGGGCAGAACCAGGAGTTGTGATTTATAGTTTTGTGCTGTCCCTGGACCACCACTGTCTGCTGCCTCCCACCACTGTAATTACCACATGTGTCTATTAGAATAGTCCAGATACCCACCGTGAGGAGGAGAGGAGAGGAGAGGAGAAGAGAAGAGAGGAGAGGAGAGGAGAAGAGAGGAGAGGAGAGGAGGGGAGGGGAGAGGAGAGGAGAGGAAAGGAAATGAAAGAAAAGGAAAGGAAAGGAAAGGAGAGGAGAGGAGAGGAGGGGAGGGGAGAGGAGAGGAGAGGAGAAGAGAAGAGAGGAGAGGAGAGGAGGGGAGGGGAGAGGAGAGGAGAGGAAAGGAAAGGAAAGGAGAAAGGAACGTAGGCAAGAGGAAAGGAGAAAAATGGATAGCGAAGGAGATAAGAGGAAAGGAGGAAAAAAAGGAGAGGAGAGGATGGGGAGGAGAATGGAGGAGACAAGAGAAAAGGAGACGAGAGGAGAAAAGGGAGTGTTATCACTTTCCACTGATAGTTTTGTTTTTCAAACAGTGTTCGCTACAAAAGCATAATACAGAGGGGGAGAGGACGGTAAAAAGGCTGCAGATGATGAGATAAAGGTCAGAAAGAAGCACAGTGAAAGGTTGAAGCATGTATTGAAAATGGGAGAATAAGACTGAAATGCTATCTTCCCATAGGTCATGGATGACTGTATCTGAATGCTGTAGCCCACATTAAAGACCTCTATGGTATATAGCGGTCGTCCTACAGATTTGACTTTTAATGAGATAATCCCTGTCCTACAAACGAAGAAAAATCATTAACACAAGCCCCTTTTTTGTAGCTTGGACTGCAGCTTTGAAAAAAAAACCCCAAACATGCTTAATCACTTTTCCACGCCTACATCTCATCTTCACCTCAAGAGTCTTAAAGTTCTCCTTTTGCCTTGGGCCTTTTAGCAACTCCTAGTGGGCAGAGTGCCTAATATATTTTCTGTCTCATGAAAATTAATGCTTCAAAAGTAATGAAATTCAGTCAATACCATCAGATACCTTGACAAATTAGAGAACTTGACAGCTTCTGAGCTTGTTTATAAGCTGTATTTCTCTGCATTATTGATACTTTCCCCTGATGTTTGGAGGTCGGGCCGTGTGCAGCGTCCACATGAAATGTCAGGGTTTTGAATTGGTCCGTGAAAATATATAGGACAGATACAAATGTAGATGTTTGTGAAGCTAATGAAGCATTTCATGTCAAGTAACAGATGTCTCTATTTTGGCAAGATAATTATCGTTTGTTATGTGACTGAAAGGAGGAAACAGATGGAGGGGTTTTTTTTCTTCCTTCTTTTCACAAAGACAAAACTGATAATGAGACTGGACACTGACCTCTGCACTGACCTAAGCACTAATTGGCCCAGGTTTGTAAAGAGAAGTCATGCTTTTGGTGTCATGACTGTGGATATGTACAGTATAGTTAGTGAAGTCACTCAATCCGCAAACCTGTGAGGTTATATGGTTTTCCTAGCATTGTTAAGGACATAGTATTCAGAAATCATAGTATAAAGTTTTTGTTGTTTTTGCTACACAGGACTATCTCTATTAATCTGTGTTTTATTCAGATTTAAAAGGCATTTTTCCAGAATAACAGAAGCCTGTCTTGTCTGTGTATAGTTTGTGCAGAGTAGCTGCTGAGCTGTGGCGCTGTACGCCTCCAACAATGTTGCTAGCAGGAGCTTAGAGGCGTGCCTACGGGGGGTAAACATTAGACGAAGTAGCCTAGCAACTAGCCATTAGCAACTAGCCGAAGTAGCCTAGCAACTAGCAATTAGTAGAAGAACCTAGGTTGCAGGTTCAAAAAGGTAAACAAGGTAAACAAATACCAATGTTGGTGGACATTGGAGCCACTCACACGTGTGTGAGACCAAAGTGTGCCACGCACCTACCCATGTTGAACAGATTTGTTGAGACAGTAAGATTCTAGGGACAAAAGCAGCTAATTCAAATCACGGCTCTAGTAAAAATAACCACAGAAAATTATTAAATCAAAAATTCTAATATTTCCTGTACTGAAAGCTGACAAATCCAAATACAGATTGGTATGATCTAAGAGTTATAAATGGCAAAGTAAAAGACAAATTAGTGGAAGTACGTGACCCTCACACACTGCTCACCAAAGTGCCTCCAAATACCACATTTTTATAGTTATTGATTTGTGTTCTGCGTTCCTTAGCACATACAAAGGAAAACAAAACACCTACACCAGAATTCTACAAGGTTTTTTTTTATTCTACAAGGTCTAAGACCAATTCGGCACCAATGGTGACGTGAGAGCCTGGTGGATGATGTGTTGAGCCAATGTGAAATATGTGAACGATGGAGGCTACACACAGACTAGGGTTGTGTTGTTCACACTGATATCATCGCTCATTAGAGAAACAGCCACGGTCTCAATTGATCTCCGTGACCAAGAGCTCATGAGTTTCAGGTTGCATTTGTGAGGCATTGATTTCTATAACTTATTAAAGGTATGAGTATTTTACACTACTGGGCTACGTGTGAGGATAACCAGGATATATATATATAGATAGATTGAATAGATAGATTGAGAAGGTACGTTTCATGTCCTTCCAGGGAAACCGTGTTTGACCGAGGAAACTGGAAAATGTGACTAAAATAAACTGATGAATGACAAACCATAAACAAACAAACAACCGTGAAACAAAAAATACAAACTTGTTCGGCTCATATTATTAAACCAACAATAATTGACAGAAGACAACTCCACTGCAAACTTGTAATATGAAGCCCGAGCATTAAACTTAACTTCAACTCACGTCACAAAGTGTTACGTGTTTTACTATAATAATAATAATAATAATCGTGTTTTTCTATAATGATAATAATCATCATAATAATAACGTTTCATACTTTTTCCACTAGATGTCGGTATTGTATCAGCATTTCTTCTCCCAACGAGCTTAAATTCACTGTCACTGAACCAATCACTACCCGTTTTATACAAAAGTGGGCGAGGTTTACATGACGGCACCCGGAACAAGAAAGCTGTAAGTTAATCAGGCCGAGCAGACAAGCTAACGATATGACTAAACATTGAATGCATAGCGCAATTGACACAGCTGTCAGCTGTCATAGATAGGTGAGATGGTTTGTTTTTATTAGCTCTCTCTGTTTGTGGTTTTAAACCTGCTCTCATTCTGTAAATCGCTTGTCCTTTTAGGGAAATGACGTCTTATCGTATACACTCGTGGAGCTTCGTCCTAGCTGCTGTTGTGGTGGTTTTTCTACAGGATGCTGTTGATTTTGCACAGGCCAAGGTAAACAAGATAACCTCCACACCCAGGGTTGTGGTTTGACAGTCTTTGTAGTATTTATTTATACAGTCAAATAAAATTGAACAAATTGATTATTATTCATTGATATTTTTTATACAATTCATAAGAAATAGTCAGAAAATAAGGTGGATTTACAGTCTCCTCACTTGTGATTTTTGTCTAATTTGCAGAACTTTGAGGACGTTCGCTGCAAATGCATCTGCCCTCCATACAGAAACATCTCTGGACACATATACAATAGAAATGTGTCACAGAAAGACTGGTAAAAAGAAAGTTTGACTATACAGTCTACAGTGTGTTGACCTGTTGTACAGTCAGACTTCAAACAGACATTACAGTTTCACTGCATAGTTCTTTTTTTAATGTCTTTTACAGTACTTGTCTTCATGTAGTGGAGCCAATGCCAGTGCCAGGACATGATGTTGAGGCTTACTGTTTGCTCTGTGAGTGCAAATATGAGGAACGAAGCAGCAACACCATCAAGGTAGATTGTGAATATTATGTTCTTGAAAAGGTTTGATGATCATTTGTTTTGTATCTATAATTATCTCACACCATTCCTATAGCTTCAGTATCCAAAACACAATAAAGTAGTAGCATTTTTAAGCATTTTTAAAGTTGATTTTTAATCTGTCTGTCCTAGGTGACCATCATCATCTACCTGTCTGTTGTGGGTGCACTGCTGCTCTACATGCTGTTTCTGCTGCTGGTTGATCCTCTCATCCGCAAACGCGACCCCTACACCCAGCCACTGCACAATGAGGAGGACGCTGAGGTTAACATACACACACCACACCACCCATATGCAGAACATAAAAATGCTAAAAGTCTTTTAATTGATTCTTGCTATATGTCCTTGGTTGTGTGTGTGTTTAGGAAGTGCGTCCCCCAGTCAGCAGCGGTCAGCCCAGGGGAAACACTGTGTTGGAGCGAGTGGAGGGAGCGCAGCAGCGCTGGAAGAAGCAGGTCCAGGAACAACGCAAGACTGTTTTTGATCGACATAAGATGCTTAGTTAAATTCTGCGATCAGACCCAGAAATAACCTAGATTAACATTACTAGAGGCAGCGCACTGGTACAAGCTGAACGTTTACATTTGATTTGCACTCAGTCATCCTAAACACGTCTATTCTCACTCAGAAACATTTCAGCACTAACGTACTCATATTGATACGTATGTAGCTCTGTTAACTAAGCTTCCGTTGGCACACTTTGAATGACTACGACATTAGAAACAGGCTGATTTCAGACTTGCTCTTTATTTTGTGAAAATTGTTGTTAGCGCCTGGCTAATGCAGTATTTATTGACTTTTTTTTATTTTGAATTATTGTATAAATTGTATTGTTATAAGAGAAAAGTTTTTGCTTGTAAATACAGTAATGAGCGAAGTCTGCAGCATAGATGTGCACTGTATATAGACAAATGTGCAATGCTCATCCTACAAATTAACATTAAGGAAAGTTATGCATGTAAAGGCTGGTAACAGCACCATGTTTGCACTGATAACATAGAATTACTACGTTTTAGGCTAGGGCACGAAAACAGCATTGACATCCAGCTTTTTTTTTTTTTGAGTATTAAAGCAAACATACCGTGTCTACAGTATAATATTTCAGATTTGAAACTGTAGGACTATATTTTGGCACATTCTTCACCTGTGTGTTTGTGTGCATTTATGTGTTATTCATAACGTTTACTTTACATTCAACGTGTATGTATAACATTCTCTGCAACGAGAAGGAGAAACCAAGGAAGAAGAAGAAGAAACCTCTGCTAAATTATTTAAATTTATCCTGAAATCTCTGTTTGTGGAAAACTTTCAAAATAACGTTTTCTTTGGAGCCTCTTCAAAAACCTGGTTTGGATTTAGTAAGGTAGAGCAAAATTCATACTGACTCTTTCTTTCTCTTTCTGTGGTTCAATGTTAAGAGTTTTAATGTTAATTCATGTAATTTTTAAAAAATTATTATTTATTTTCAAATTGATCTTATTTTTGATTTTTTTCTTTTTTTGCCCACTGCTGTCATTCCTCTTTTATATACTTTTCTGCAGTCTAATTGGAGTATTATGTTGTGGGTGTGAATGTAGTAGGCTTGATGGAAAACAGCAACTAATTAAAAAAGAGACTTTAGTGAACGTTTTTGTTGGTTTTTACTCTATTGTCATATGTTTGGTTGCAGATCACTGTTGGCGTCACTGCTTTTTATTGGCACAAGAGGGCGACAGAGAAAACTCGTCTCCTTTACAAAGCACCTTGCATGCACAGAAAGTTTAGTGAAGAAAAAAGTGTTCTCTTCCGGTTAAGGTAACTTGTTTCTTTCTTGGTTAAATAATTTGAAATCATTTGAAGAAGTTCATGTTAATACATTACTTTCGAAGGAGCTCTAATTTGAGCTGGATGTATAGAAGAATAGATCGCCATGTTTGATGTAGTGTCCTCAGTAAACAAACTAAAATGCCACGTACAGAAAATTCAGCGATACATTTTTACGAATTAAAAAATATGGACTTCAATTAAATAATGCCATGTTTATATTAATAATGTTAAACCTGCTTTTTCCTCCACCTTTTTTATAACCTTTTTACCTCAGTAAGAAAATGTCCATTTTCTTTGCCGTAGTTCCTGACACAGGAAGCATAGTTTTTGTTCTCAATGAACGAACTTTTTCTGCAGTGCCCCCCTTTGTAGATAACAATATTGTTGAGCCGCCACCCCACTCCCGTCCCCCCAACTTTGTGTTGCCTTAGGACTTAATTATCTTCTGTCATGGGAGGACATGACAGAAATGGTTTCACGCCCCCCCCCCCCCCAACACCCCTGCGAATTGACGTACTACTGAGAACCTGATAACATGTATATTTATATCTGTACAAACTTCTGTATGAGTTGCTGCCACCTAGTGACTGGAGGCTTGTTATGATTCAAGCACTACAGCAGTGGTAGACTTATGTCCAGTATCCCCTCAACCTCCCCACCCCCCAGACTATTTGAGAAGTACTGTCTTCCCATTAGTTTCCCAGAAGATGCTGCTAATCCCACAGAGTGCACCTTTAAAACATTAAAAAGTTTCAGGTTATTCCTGAATATATTCTCCTCCTGTAACCTCCCCCCCTCCCCTCCCT